TCATTGCAGAGAGTTTGGAAGTGCTGGGGGGGGCGGAGCAGAGGAGGCCCAGTGGAAAACGAGGCCTTTCTCTGGCAAGGGGACCGGGGGTGTGGTTACACGAAACAAGTCACCAGGAACATTTCAGCAAGTGGGCTTGGCCCTTCACCATCTTCCTACACTTGTGTGTCTCTCTACTTATCATCTGTCTGTCTGGATGTCTGTCCATCATCCACCCATTCATCCACCACCCATCCATCCATCCATCCATCATCCATCCTCCATCCTCCATCCTCCATCCACCACCCTCATGCATCCATCCATCCATCATCTATCCATGCTGTTTGTCCATCCATCATCCATCCATCACCCATCCATCATTGATCCATCATCCATCCAACATCCAACCATCATCCATCCATCCATCCATCATCCACCATTCCCCATCCATCCTCCATCATTCATCATCCATCCATCATCTATCCATCACCATCATCCACCCATCATCCATCCATCATCCAACATCCATCCATCCATCCATCCATCCATCCATCCATCCATCATCCATCCATCATCCATCCATCATCCATCCATCCATCATCCATCATCCATCCATCCATCCACCCATCCATCCATCCATCCATCCATCCATTTATCTATCATCTGTCCATGCTGTTTGTCTGTCCATCCATCATCCATGCATCAGCCATCCATCATCAATCATCCATCATTGATCCATCATCCATCCACCATCCATCCATCGTCCACCATTCCCCATCCATCCTCCATCATCTATCCATCACCATCATCCACCCATCATCCATCCATCATCCATTCATCCATCCATCCATCTATCATCCATCCATCCTCCACCATCCCCTATCCATCCTCCATCATCCATCATCCATCCACCATCCTCATGCACCCATCCATCCGTCATCTGTCCATGCTGTTTGTCTGTCCATCCATCAGCCATCCAACATCCATCCATCATCCATCCATCCATCCATCATCTACCATTCCCCATCTGTCCTCCATCATTCATCATCCATCCATCATCTATCATCTATCCATCACCATCATCCACCCATCATCCATCCATCCTCCCCCATCCATCCATCCATCATCCATCCACCATCCACCCAGAATCCATCCATCCACCATCACCCACCCATCATCCATCCATCCTCCACCATCCCCCATCCATCCTCCATCATCCATCATCCATTCGCCATCCTCATGCACCCATCCATCCATCATCTGTCCATGCTGTTTGCCCATCCATCCATCATCTGTCCATCATGATCCATCCTGTGTGTCTGTCTATGTGTCCACCTGTCATCTATCTGTACCCACAAGTCTTATCCTTGAGCTACACAGTCCAGCATCTGCTTCTGCATCCAGAGGCTCCTCCTCCGTGTCTGCGTCTCTGTCCCTTTGAGGGACGCTGTCCTGGGGTGCAGGGCCCTGACCCGGGACAGCCTCCTCCTGGTCCTTCACGCGTCGCCCCCGCAGAGACCCTGTTCCCACCTGCAGCCCCGGGTGAAGGTTTGAAGAGACATGATTTCAGGTCAACCCCGTACAACCCAGGACAGAGGCGGGGACAACCCAGAGCCCTGCGGGATTTGCATAAGACCCCACACGTGCACAAGGCAGTTTGGACCTAGGACAAACCCGCCATTTCCTGCCTGGGGTGACGTGGGGGACCCTGACTAAGGCCTCGGTCAGGCCTGTCCCCTGCGGACACCTCAGCGTGCAAAGCATCTTGTGGAAACAGGTGGCGCTTCCTCAAACAGACGCAGTCAGCCCATCAGCCAGTCATTCTGCTCCCAGGTAGCAGGACAGAGAAATGAAAGCCACACACTCAGGCTCCGGCACGCACAGCCTCACGGCGGCGGGGGCTGCACGCAAGGGCGGAGACACCCAATGTCCAGGGACAGTGGCAGACCCAGATGGGTTCTGCCCACACCGTGGAATATTACGCAGCCAGGAACAGGGGGCAGCGCCGATCGTCATGACCAGGCAGGTGAACCTTAAAAGACCCTGCTCGGGGCAGACCCAGACGCAAATGGACAAACAGGGCAGGGTCCACCGCTAGGAAATGTCCACACTGGCCAGTGGACAGCCAGGAAGTGGGGGAAGGGTGCCGGGGCGCAGAGTGACGACTTAATGGGGACCGGTCTCCTTTACGGGGACGAGACTCTTCTGAACCCAGAAGTGACGGGCACAGAACACAGAGTCGGGGTGTCCTTTTTGGGGGACGAGACTCTGCTGGCCCCAGAGGCTAGCGGCCCTGAGCCGCTGGCCTTTCGATGCCCGTTGTCTGCAATTCCCGGTGAATTACGGCTCCAAACCCAGAAAGGACAGAATATCTCCCCGATGCTCGTGTCCGCGTGACCCTCTCACCACTGCTCCCCGTGCCCCCTGCCCCCACTTGTCCCTCCGGTGTCCTCCCTCCTCAGGACGTGGGCGGCCAGCGGCCAGCTCATGGCTGAGGTGCCTGCAGGAAGCCGCAGCCTGGCGGTGGGGGGGGAGGCCATTGTTTGCATTTCCTCCTCCTCCAAGGCCACCGGGACCTTCATTCCAGGCTCTGTGACCTTGAGCTGGCCGGCCGCCCGCTGCCCCTCGGGCCTGAGCCGCTCGGTGGAGGGGGCAGCAGACGGGCTCCCCTGGGCCCCTCCCGGAGGGGGCGTCTCCCTGTCATCTTACAAACAGGGAAACTGAGGCACAGTGGGCTTCAGGGACGTGTGCAGCTGGCACGGGGTGGGTCTTCCCCAAAATATGCCCCACGTGTCCAGCGCTGCTTGTCCGTGGTAAGCGCCTCGGGCAGCTTCAGGTACAGCAGGATCCAGGGGCCCCGGGGGAAATGTCCTCCCACAGGAGGGTGTGGCCGACCGAGACGCAGGGTCCTCCCCAGACACCCCCTGTCCAGGGAGCCGCTCCTCTCCCCTGGACGCCCCAGCCCCTGCTGGCCCTCAGCTCAGGGGGACGACCCTGCTGTGCTGTCCACTCAGGACCCACAGCCTGATCTGGGCGCCACACGGTGTTGGTGCGGGCGGCTCTGTCCTGCTCACCGGTGTGCTGCTCATTTGTTTGCTCAGCCAGCCGCACAGGACCCCAAGGGAGGGGACTGTCCCCCTTGCCGGCCCAGGGGGACCCCAGTTCCGTCTCCAAGCACCTGGGCCCTCACCAGTCAAGCAGGAGTGACGGGGCAGCACCTGCCCCATTTGGCGGCGGAATGGAAGACAATTCGGGCCAAGGGGAGGGTGTTTTGCCCCCGAAAACAAAAACAGAAAGCCGGACACAGGCCGGGGACGCCCGGAAGCCGCTGTGAGGGTCTCCACGCCAGGCGGAGATGCCACAAGGGCTTTGCAATGGCCAAGATGGCCCGCTGGCCGTCCGCAGCCCCGCAGCCCCAGCTTCCGGGTCGCTGCCCGTGGGCACAGCTATGCCGAGATTGTGGACACACTCAGCTGACCCTGAGTCCTACCTCGAGCCCTGGTCACCAGCCATGCCAGGCCCTGGGCATGAGCCGGGCCACGCGGCCCAGAAGCGGGGGCTGCAGCCGCTTCAGCTCCTGGATCCCGCCACGCCTGAAGCTGTCCGAGGCCGGATTATCCAAACGCACGTCACCGTGTTGACCTGCGCTGGCTCACGTCAAGCTGTGGCTGCTGCCCAAAGTGTGTGTGTGTCCGGTGCGCCCCCGGCCACGGCGCCGAAGGGCGCTCTTCCGCACGGGGCACCCACAGAGGCCGCACCACAAGCCTCCGTCCACAAGCGGCCATTCCCCGCCCCGTGGGGGTCACGCGTGTGCGCCCAGCACCCACCTCTCGCGCTCTGAGTGTGTCTCACGAGTGACCTCGGTCACTGAGCACCTGGGCTCTCAGCAGCCCAGCGGGATGATGTAACAGCACCTGCCCCGTTCCGTGGCAGAACTGCACAGACACCTGGGGCCGAGGGAGGGGTGTTGCGCCCCCCCGAAAACCAAAACAGAAAGTCAGAGACTAGGCTGGGGATCGTTAAAGGCGGGCCGGCGCCTGTAGCAGGGCGGGCGGCCAGCTGAGGCCTGATGGGCATTAGGGTGGGGCATTAAAGGGTGACCAGACAGCTTTGCCAGACAATCCAGAGGCCCCACTCCAGGGAACCTACCCAAAGAGGCAAAAACACCGTAGCAAGGGGCTCTCTGCCCCCCTGTGTTCACCGCTGCCCCGTTCACAACAGCCAAGCGAGAGAAACCACCCAAGTGCCCAAGGATGGACAGGCAGACACACAAGACGCCGTCTGTGTGCACAGTGGAATACTACGCAGCCATGAAAAAGGTCTCCTCTTGCCATTTGCAGCAACGTGCACGCAGCTGGAGGCGGGGAGCAAGTGGAGTGAGATCGTCAGAAGGAGAAGGATCAATTTTGGGGGTTTCACGCCCACGTGGGACACCGAGAAGCAAAGCAATGAGCACAAAATAAATAATCTGACCTCAGAATAGAAGCTGCCGGCGGCGACATGGGGGTGCAGGCAAAGCGGGAAGGGGACAGTGCTGGAGGATGTTTGGGGCCTTGGCGGGGAGCTCACCTATCTGAAGAGCCATCAGCCTGTACCCCAAGTCATAGCCCCCTTGCAAACTGTCACCTCCATAAAAAATTACTCAATTTTGACAAAATAGATCAACAAAACGGAACGCGATGGAAATAACTCCCCCTCCTGCGCCAGACGAGGGCTATTTCCTGCTGAGGAACTCGGGGTGACTCTGTAGCCCCCCAGATGTGCACAGGCAGCGAGCTCTTTGGCCACCCTGCCTCCGTCCATCCTCTCCAGTGCTTTGCCCGCTGGACCCTCCCTCTGAGACTCCCACAAACGCTGTGTGGGTCTTGGGGGGCCGGGGTCAGCATGAAGCAACCCCAGTTGATGGTGTTTGTGAAATGGAGACAGGGTGCTGTCCCGCGGCCCGCCCTGCCCCCCACCCCGGGATCTCATGGGGTCTGTGACTTACGGCGGTCAGCGGTCAGCAGCCCCACAGACCTCACCTGCTTCGGGCAAGCGGGTGCCCCTTGGGGCGGCCCCCGCGGCAGACACGGGGGCCCTGGTCTCCGGCTCTGGGTGGACCCCAGCGGACGGTCCCCAGCCCTCCGGGGACAGCTATTTGCGAGGTGCTGTCATCTGCCGAGTGAATTAGGCGCAGGGGGCAGTGGAGCGGAGCACAATGGACCGGCTTCCTCTTTCTCTCGTCTGGGGGGAGAGGATTTACATACTTTTAAATACATTTTTTTAAAGCACGTTTGGAAAAAGCATCACCCCGATGTATTCAGGGCAGCGAGTGGGGGTGCGTGCTCCCCTGGGGTGGCTCTGAGAGTGAATTTCTGCACGCGCTTTGGCAAGTCCGCAGCGAGTGTCCACGAGATTTTGTTTCTCGTGCATTCGGCCTGGGGGAGCCGCCTGGTCCTCCAGTGACCAGCCAGGCTGTGCATTCTTGACGTTCTGCCCCGTTATGGGGTGAAAGATGTGGCCCCCGAATGCACAGGCTGGAGCCCTGACCCCAAGGCTGTAGACCCTCAGGGCCCTAGGGCCCCAGCACTACTGGACACTAGGACCCCAGAACACCAGGACCCCAGAACCTCAGGACAACAGGACCCCAGAACAGAGGATCCCAGAACCCCAGAACCCCAGAACAGGTGCAGGTGGCACAGGCCCACCCCAGGGCCTCTGCAGCCAGACTCCAGCTCATGTCCAGTGGGCGCAACGCGTCCTGCGGCCATCTGGGGCAGCGAGTCCCCTCGATCCGTCATCTGCAGCCCCATGCGCGCCCGTGCTGCGCGCTCCGCCAGCCCACTCCCCTGCCGCCTGCCCCGCACACAGGCCCGGGGCCTCCCTGCCTCCCGATTCCGCAGTGGTCATCACCCCACAATGCAGGGACACCTCCAGTGGGCGGACATGATGCCATCTGCAGAATCAAACTGCCCGGCAAAGTAGCGAAATATAGACCAGGTCATCACACTGGACCTGGGCGCCTCTGCGGAGTGTGGTTCTGTCTCCTGCAGATGTGGGTGTGAGGAGTTTGTTGACAGATGTGTGGCGCCAAGTAGGATTTGTGGGGGTGAGCGTTGCTTCTGGGGGGGTAGGGGAAGGGGAAGAGGAAATATGGGTGGGGGATGGAGGATGACGGATGGTAAAAAGCATGGACAGATGATGGATGGATGATGGATGATGGAGGATGGTGGATGATGGATGATGATGGATGGATGATGGATGGATGGATGATGGATGATGGATGGATGGATGGATGATGGATGGATGGATGATGGATGATGGATGGATGGATGGATGATGGATGGATGGATGATGGATGGATAATGAATGATGATGGATGGATGATGGGTGGATGATGGATGGAGAATGATGGATGATGGATGGACGATGGATGGATCAATGAATGGATGACGGATGGAGGATGGAGGATGGATGATGATGGATGGATGATGGATGATGGAGGATGGATGGATGATGGATTTTGATGGATGGATGGATGGATGGATGATGGATGATGATGGATGGATGGATGATGGATGGATGGATGATGGAGGATGGATAGATGATGGATGATGATGGATGATGATGGATGGATGGATGGATGGATGGATGGATGATGGAGGATGGAGGATGGACAGATGATGATGATGATGGATGGATGGATGATGGATGATGATGGATGGATGATGGATGATGATGGATGATTTATGATGGATAGATGATATTGGATGATGGTGGATGATGGATAAATTTATAGATGGATGGATGGATGGATTAATGGCAGATGATGGATGGTGTATCAATGATGGACAAAGGATGATGGGTGGTTGACCAATCAATGGCCGAGTGGGTAGATGGACGTAGAAGGACAGGGAGGCAGGACGGCCAATGTTAACATGTGGACACATGGTCTTGCCTGGGGGGGCACCTGGCTCAGGACTGCCCCAAGGACCAGCAGCCCCTCCCTCTGCCTGGGCCTTTTAGCCACCACAGTGAGGGCAAAGTATGGGGAGGACCCAAGGTGGGTACCACAGGCAGCAGAGGGAGTGGGCGTGGGGTGGGGTTTGGGGTTCTCAAGGTGTGAAGCAAAGGAGTCAGGACTTGGGGTGCTCACTGTTGGGTGGGGGAACCAGTGACTGTTTCCTGCACCTCCTGAGCCGGCTCTCTGCTGCTCCCCTAAAGTGTGTAGGGCCAGAACCAGGACTTACATCCCCTGAGAAGGAGCCAGGGACAGCCAGGGTGGGCTGCAGCATCCACTCAGCAGAGCTGCCTCTGACCATCAGGAGTTCCACATTTGGGTGGTCTCCCCATCTTGGCTGCTGTGAATGTGGGGGGCAGGCATCTCTCCAAGCCCCCACTTTGATCTCTTTAGGGTCAACACCCAGAAGCAGACGCCTGGATCTGACGGCAGCTCTGGTTCCAATCACCCGAGGAATATTACTCAGCCATGAAAAAGGAAGAAAACCCCGACGCAGCTGCAGCAGGGACAAACCTCGAGGGTCTCCTGGGAGGAGCCCCGAGAGGCAGGAGGTGACATTGGGGTGCTGGAGCTAAAGAGGGGAGCAGGAATGGGGACACCCTCACGGCTGTCTTGGCAGAGCTGGGAAGGCTCGGGCAGGAGCGTGAGGGTGAGGGGGCCCCCACCGGTCACCCTGTAAGATGTGGGTGTGTCCACCCCATGGCCCCAGCCCAGCCCCCCTCCAGCTCACCGGGGAGGCCCCACGGCCTGGACGCTGCCCGTCTGGGGAGGTCACGGGGTCCTCTGCGGCTGGCGCCCATGGGAGCCGGCCCGGGGCTTCCCTGGAGAGGGACTTTCAGAGCCAGGAGAGTCCCCAGGGCCGGCCGGGCTGGCGAGTGCCCGGGACACAGGGGACGTGACCCCTGCAGCTGTGTTCCAGCCGCTGCAGCGGCCACTGCTGACCCTGAGTGCGCCGAGGGCGGGGACGCGGGCGTGGCCGGCTGAGACCTCCCCGCCTGCCCCGGGCGTGACCTGCGGCCTCGCCTGACAACCTCGCCCGGGCCGGGCGGGAGACCGAGGCTTGAGGGCGCTCTGCGGCCCTGGCCCTGACCGCCCTCCCGTGACCGCCCGCGAGGGGGCTGCTTCCTCTTTTGCTCACCCGCAGGGAAGCCACAGCCCACCTTCCTTGCCACCCACGCGCCTGGGGGGACCCGGCCTGCTGCCATGTCCCCCCAAGTCCCCACGGGTGTCCTAGCGGGCCAGCTGGCCCCAGGGGACCCTAAGGGCTGAGCCCACGCCCAGCGGCCCCCCACGGCCAATCCTGCCGGGTCAACGGTGACCTCAGACACGGTGAGCGCCTTCATCCTGAACCCCAGGAACTAGGGGAGGCAGGAGGGGCCTCCCTGGAGCCTGGGGGGACCCTGAGACCCCTGGTGTCCAGCTCAAGACGCAGAGGGGTCGAGCCGCCGGCCCAGGGCACCTTGTAGCAAAGACCCAGCACCCCGCCTGACCTCCAAAGGGACCCCCCCAACAGCTCACGTGGACCGTCTCAAAGTCACAAACCACGTCCCCCGGCACTGGCCGCGGCCGATGGACACTTGTCTGCGGCCCCTGCAGACCACAGACGCCCCCGTCCGGCTCGGGACCCAGCAAAGCAACCGTCAGAACCCCTGAGCCGCCGTCCCCCGCCCCCAGACGCGTGTGCCCAGGACCCAGCGCCCCGTCACGCCCCGCTGGCCGCCCGGTGTTTACAGTGACTCATCCCGGCCAGGCCCGGCCACAAATAGCCTCACGCTGCGTCGCGCACACGGGTTTCGCTTCCTCCTGGGCCAGAACTTCCTCCCTGCAGGGGTCAGAAGGGGCGCGGTGGACCCGGCCCAGAGGGCCCCAAAAGTAAAACTGGGCGGCGAGTGGCGCGTGGACGACGGACGCCGAGCCGAGACGAGCGGCCACGCGGCCACGAGGCAGCAGCCCCCTGCCGCAGGCCTTGGGTCACTCGGAGGGACCCACCCCTGCCTTCCAAGGCCCCCCAGGAGGACTCAGAGTGCCCGGATCAGGCGTCCTGCCTCCTCCCACGGGCGTCCACCCCAGCCCCATGGGGCGGATGTGCAGGACACGGGGCGAAACGCCCCTCCGCGCCGCAGCTCAGAGCCAGCCGGTGTCCGTGCCGCCATCTTGCAAGCTCGGGGTCACAGCCGGGTCCCCGCAGGGCCGGGGCATGTGGGGGGACAGTGATATCCTTCCATCTTGCACCTGCTTCGTGGGATCCCCCACATCGGCCAGCACAGGTATGTCCAGGAGGGGGCCGGCCAGGGCTGTCCCCTTTGGGGCTGCTGGGGAGCTGGGATGTCTCCCGGGCGAGGTTGCTTTTCTCCAGGACTCTAGAACTTTCTCACCCCGGGAAGCCGGACCTTGCGGCACAGGATGTGGGTCCAGGCGGGGGGTTAAGTCTTCTCCGAGTCTCTGGAGCTCCGTGTCCAGCGAGGACACCCGCTGCTGTGCACGCCGCCTGTGGGGTCTCTCCGGGGGAAGGAGCTTTCGTGGCAACGAGGCCGTGCCTGTCCCCCTGGACGGTGGCACCGAAGCTCACCGTGGGGGCAGCAGCCGTAGTTTTGAAGGACCCGGCTCGTTGCTCACCGGAAAGCCTTCGCGTGCACAGCAGACACTTCCTTCGGAAGTCGTGTTCCCCATCGGCGACGTGGGGTCACCCCGCTGGGGCCCTCGGCGCCATGCACCCCAATAAGCGTGGCCGAGAGAGCACTGGAAAGAGGCCCAGTGGGCGTGTGTGAGGAAGTCGCGGAGATGCGTCAGCTGCAAGAGGAACCAGCAGGTATTTTGCACAAGAAGGAGAACAAAGTCGCTCCCCTTCTCTGTTGCAAGGAGTCGGGGTGTCCCCTGAGAAGGGCCCTTTTCAGTGCCGTGTGCATGGGAGCCCTTGCAGCAGCCAGGAATGTGGTGGCCACTGTGGAAAAGGCTGGGGGTCAGCTGAGTGGACACGTAGAGCTTAATTGGAGGCGTGAAGGCAGGACCAGGACCCTAAGACGGGGGCATCCGATGGGGGGCTGGG